AAGTCTGTGATCTCCTGGGAGCATTTCAGCCTACAGTTTTAAATCATCTTCCAGTTTCAATTTCTTTTCCTTCCCATATTTTCCCTTGGCATGATTCTAAGAAATAATCTATAGATTGATTTTAATCTTCCTCTATTACCTGGATTTATGCGACCCACTCCCAGTCAGCCCAGAACTGGCCAAACTGCTGATATCACTTATTTAATGAACAGAGGCAGGCAATGTGGATGTAGCAAGTACCACATCATCTTAGAAAGACCATCGCTACTAGTCATTGTAGAGAAAGTGAAGGGGAATGGACTCATGACCCATTTGACTCACAAGGTTACTGAACCATAATGATCTATACAAATCGGCCTGCCTATACCCACTGCATTCAAACATTCAAGTGGCTATCTTTGGAATGGTTAAAGATGAGCTAGATTACTATGCTCTGATAGAATTCTCATTGATACAGAGTATTCACCTGCCCTATGAGAGTTCACAGAGAAATAGAAGGTCTGAAACAGAAGGCTAAGGAAATCTATTGTACATAACCTTTTCATTTTCTTAATTCACTTAGAATAAGAATCCTACTCCTCATATAGGCTGGAAGGCATGACAGGCGTAATCCTTTTTCTGTCTCACCACTCATTATTTCCTTCCACACTCTCTTCTCCTCACCAGGTCACACTGGCCTTCTTTCTGGAAATGACCAGCGTCCCCACATCTCGGAGTCTTTAGATTTGCTATTCCCACAGGTTGGTATTTTCTTTCCTTAGTTCTGGACTGGGTTGATTCTTTCTCACCCAAGAGGTTTCTGCTGACTTAGCACCTCCTATAGAGACCTTCTCAGGCCACCCTTTGTGTCTCTGATCATAACCTGCATTTAGGGTGATTTTTTATCTACTGGTTTTTAGTCAGTCTCCTCAGTAGACTGACAACTTTCAGGGCAAGGGTATCTCATTCATATGGGCAGTGTTCCAGCTCTTTATTTTCTTTCCAAGTCCTTCTTACCATACCACCCTGTTGGCATCCTTTCTGGCACTAATCACAACTGGGAATGATCTTTATCTGTCCCCTTGGTTAGGACTTAGCTCTCTTTACTGGATTGTGAGCCCCATGAGGGACAGGGCACAGGTCTGTTCTGTTCATTTCTGTAGTCACCTGATGAATGACATCGCCTTAAGATTAGCACAAGATGCCATGGTCACCTCGTGACTAGACACTGCTATTTGGAGTGTCTCATCTAGAATCTTCATGGCATTAGTTACGGATGCCAGAGGAATAATCAATGTAAAGTTATGTCGCTATCCACTGAAGCCAGTTAAATCATTGAGGAGGTAAGCACTACTTTTGCATGGTATCACAGGAATGCAGAAGTACACCTGCAAATGCTGAGAAGATTGGAAGACTACTCGTCTTCCTTAGCAGATACAGTGTGGAGAAACATATTGCTCTTTCTGTTTTGGGTGAGCACTCCAATGGCCTCTCCCATGTCCATATTCTTCCAATTGTTAGTTAAAAATCGAGTAACTTTTACATATTATAAAAGTAGCAACGAGACTAAATTTGTACAAATTAAATTGACCAGCTTAGAAATTCCAGGAGTTAACAGGGTTAATGGCTACTAATTGGAGCAAACTGGGAAGGTCCTGAATTTTGAAGGCACTACCCTTTTAGGTGGAGCAGCTGAGGAAGGTTGTGGCAGTACAGGCCTGACTGGGGATGCTGAGAAATTGAGGTAAGTCAGTCTCATGCAGGGATGGGGTGGGATAGGGACCAAGTCCCATGTCCACATTACAATCACTTTCACTAATGGGATGCTTCTTCTTTTTAAAAATAGCATTGTATTGCATCTTCAGTGACGGTTTGCACAGCAGTTTAGGTGTCCGGTTGACAATTTCAACCCAAGTTGTTCGGTGATATTGGTGACATTATTTACAGTGTGTGAAGATTCTCATGATTTTCATTCAGGGTCTTCCATTTCCATCCATCTCATTTCCCTGCCTCCTTTGTTTTAAAGTCATTCTCGACTCTTTAAAGGTGCTGTCTTTAAAGGAGCACAGAACTGACAAGTGATAGTCATCTTTTTTTTTAAAGCCAATTTGCTATTTGGCTACAGAGTGAGCTCTCAGATTAGTTTGGATTTAAGGCTCGAGGGGTGTCTTGGGGCAACAGTCTAGGGCAGTGGTTCTCAACCTGCCTCATACTGTGACCCTTTACTAGAGTTGCTCATGTTGTGGTGACCCCCCAACCATGAAATTATTTTCATTGCTACTTCATCACTATAATTTTGCTACTGCTATGAATCGGGCACCCCAATGAAAGGGTTGTTCAACCCCCAAAGGGTTGTTGCCACCCACAGGTTGAGAACCGCTGGTCTAGGGGAATTCACCAGTCACAACCAGTTGAGAAAGTCTGGTGTTTTGCTTGTTTCTGTTCCATACTCTGGTCCCATTCTATCATAGGCCATCTACTGTAGCCCTGATGAGGACAGTCAGTTGTTAGAGTCAGGCACCGTCCAGTTCTGGTCTCAGGGTAGATGAGGCATGGCTTGTGCAGTACTATGTGTCCTATAGTAGGAGCCCTGGTGGAGTCATAGGTTAAGCGTTGCGGTGCTAACCTCCAGATCAGTAGTTCAAAACCACTGGCCAATTGGTGGTTTTGAGACTTTCTGCTCCTGTAAAGAGTTGCAGTCTCAGAAAGCCACAGGGTGTTCTACTCTGCCCTATAGAGTCGTTATGAGTCACCATTGACTGGATGGCAGTGAGTTCATTTGTGCAGCAGGCTAGTTTGCTCCTGGGGTCTTGGGTTTCATTCTCTTTTACTCCAGGTGAGTGGAGGCCAGGACTTATGAATGCAATTTTTATCATCTTCCCCTATGTCTGGTTTCTTGCCTTGGTCAAGTGTCTTCATGATGTTGTTATTGTTAGGTGCCTTCGAGTCAGCCCCAGCCCATCGCGGCCCTATGCACAACAAAAAGAAACACTGCCTGGTCCTGCACCATCCTCACGACTGCTCCTATGCCTCACCCATTGATGTAGTTTCTCACTGTGTCAATCCATCTCGCTGAGTGCTTTCCCCTCCTTCGCTGCCCCTCAACTTTATTAAGCACAAAGCCCTTCTACAGGAACTGGTTTCTCCTGACAATGTGTCCAGGGTTTTTAAGATGAAGTCTAGCCATCCTTGGCTCTAAGGAGTACTCTAGCCTTCCTTCTTCCAACACAGATTGGTTTGTCCTTTTAGTAGCACGTGGTATTGCCAATATTCTTCTCCAGCATCACAATTCAAATGCATCAATTCTTCTATGGTCTTCCTTATTCAGTGTCTAACTGTCAAAGGTATATGAGACAATGGATAAATACCATGGGTTGGGTCAAGCGTAACGTAGTTCTAAAGTAACCTCCCTGCTTTTCAACATTCTGAAGAGGTCCTGTGCAGCAGATTTGCCCAACAGCGCTATGTCCCTTGAGCTCTTGACTGTTGCTTCCATGAGCACTGATTGTGGATCCAAGCAAGACAAAATCCTTGACAACGTCAACCTTTTCTCCATTTAGTATGATGTTGCCTATTGGTCCAGTTGTGAGGATTTTGGTCTTCACATTAAGCTGTAATCCATACTGATGGCTACAATCCTTGACCTTCATCAGCAAGTGCTTCAAGTCCTCCTCACTTTCAGCAAGCAAGGTTGTGTTACCTGTACATCACAGGGTGTTGGTAAGCCTTCATGCAGTGAGTGTCTTCATGCAGTTCATAGATATTGCTTTTTTTTTTGCTATAGTATCATGCCTTATTAAAGTAGTCAGACCATACACTTAAATGTCTAGGAGATGCAACAACTCCCTATAGAGGAATTTATTTGTCTATGACCTACATAGCAGTTTCTGAAATGGTGGGGGTTACATAGAACCTAGCCTGGCTGGCTGGTGTCCTTGATCCCTGAAGCATTCTCTTAAACGTTCAGTCTTCTGAGTTCCAAGAGGATTCGGGAAATGGACTTGCAGACTAAATATCTGCTCAGTTGTTTTCATCTAGTGGGTAACCAACATCGCGTTCCCATTTTCGAGTATGTTGATGCAGAACTTCTTTGGCGCTGCCTGTAGACAGTTGTATAACTTAACAATACTGCTCGAGCCCTTACCCCCTTGAAATATTGAGCCTTCTCAAGTTCCAAGGAAGCCTGTGGTGACTGCACAACATTCTGATGTTAAAACACCTTGTTTGGAAAATATTCAGATGGTGATTTTCAACTACGTATTTGATCAGGGTAGATTTCCTAAAGATAATGAGAGTGGAATCTTGAAAACCCCAAATAAAAGAAACCCACCCGACCCACCCCAGCCCTTTATCTAATATGCTCATTCACAATGCAGATCTTTTCTGTACCCCTGAAGCAAGATTGCCCTGCTTCTCATAAGATTTCATGAGTCTCACTCTACTCTGTCTTTTTCAAGAAAGGAGAGTCCAGAGTGATGTAGCTATGGTTTTGTTGCCATCTCAGGAAGGGTTCATTTTACAAATAAGAATCATTTTAGGAATAAGAAAGAAAACAATTTGGCATTACACAAATGTGTTAAGACTTATTCATTCACTCGATGAATATTTATCAAGCTTCCACTGGATGCCAAGCGCTATGTTAGGTCCAGGGTATTGGTAGCAGTAAGCAAAATAGATAAAGTTTTTACTCAGGAGATTGCTTTTGGATGAGATTCCTAACAGACAGATACCTTTATAAATATGAATCGAATATATCTGCTTCAATATTCGTTCGATAATTTATGGTCTAGCTCTTAAGCAATAAAATGGTTGAATACCATCCTGGTTAGCAATGTTTCAAAGAAAACCTGACCAGCCTAGTTTAAACCCTCCTTGCCTCTTGTTATGATGATCACGCTATCCTTCTAATTGTTTCTATTCTCTCCAGGTCAACTGTCAGAACTAGATTTCATTCTTATACTTGTAGAATTAAAATATGTATCAAGATGATAAACTAAGAAAGGTCACAGCCTTAAAAAAAAACCCTCTAGATCCCTTATCCATCAGACCTAAACACTGGTCTGCGTGGTTATAAAAGGAGGAAAAGTAAAATTGAAACAAAGTTAAATTCTTTTGTGACACACCAGCTAGCTTTCAACAAACAAAAGCAATACATTACTATTATTAGAAACCAAGAATTCCCTCCAAAAAATCTTATCATGACAAACAACCACTGTTTACTGTGTAGTCTAGTAATATACTATGATGGTTTTTCCTTCTCTACAATGTACTTTTCTTGGAATTTCTAACTGCCAGTTGTTTTGCTTTGTTTGCTCAGACCTTATCTAGCATCCACCTGTCTCCTCAATTCTTTATTACTTCTCCGTAGTGTTAGACACTATATCAAATCCCCTCGTATCTCATAGGTCACCTTCCCAGAGTCTACCATCTCCCTAATCCAACGTTCTTCTGCGGACCTGCTGCACAAATGTCACCCTGAGCTGTCTGCATGCCACTCTCCCAGATTGGATGCAATTTCCTGAAGCCCAACCTTGTTTCACATGCTGAGGTTGTCAGAGCACAGTCTTCAGTAGCTCTTCAAGAAAAAAAATCGCACGAGAGAGAAAAGGTCTGATCCCTTGCTTGTCTGAAAAGGTCTTTAGCCTCTCATTTAATTCATATTTTAACTGGGAAGTCTGACTTGAAATTTTCTCTCTTGCATTTTGTATGGCCTCAATCAGTAATCTTCTAGTATCTATTACTGGGCTTGAGAGCCTGCTATTGTTTGGATCCCTCTTTGTACATTATGTGTGAGTGACCTTCTGGAAACTTTTAGAACATCTCTGAATCTCTGCTGTTCTGACATTTCAGCATTAGATGTGCCTGGCACCTATCTTGAGATCATAAGCCTCTTGGGTTCACTTTCTCCTCTAACTTGAGGAGGCACTGGGTAGTTGGCAGTGTGACACAGGGTGGGAGTGGGGTGAAGGGAGGGTAGGGGGGAGAGAACACTCATTTAAAGCACAGCTCTGATGCCGTAACCCCCGATTAAAAGCCTTCAGGAAAGTTCAAACTCCCCAGTGTGGTGTGCAATGCCTTCAAGAATTTGGCCTCACCTATCTGTCTTATCTTAGACACAATTTCTCCTTCCAAGCCAATTGGAGTACTTGGTAGGCTTGAAACACCAGAACACTTTTCACATCCAAGCCATTGTTCATGTCCACGTCAGTCAGTGTGTTGCTACGCCCATCTCTGCCCTCACACACACACATTGCTAGAGTGACTTGCTCACGGAAAATGCCTTTCCAAATCCCAAAGCCCTTCCAAGCTCCAAATGGCATCTCTTCCATTAAGAATTCATCTCTCCCTCATCCTAACAATCGGTTCCTCCTTGGGAGCAATCTTCACTCGCGCTCATGTATTGTAGTCACTGATGCACATGCACTTTACTATGAACTCTTTGAGACAGTTGCTGCTGTGTGCCCTCACCTTGACTCTGATTCATGGCAACCCTAGGTAAGCATAGAACTACCCTATAAAAGCCCCAAATCAAACCCATTGCCATCCAGTAGATTCCAACTCATAGCAACACTACGTAGGTTTTCTGAGGCTAAATCTTTAAGGGAGCAGCCTTAAAAAAGCTTAAAGTTTTCTGAGGCTAAATCTTTAAGGGAGCAGCCTTAAAAGCTTCACTTTTCTCCCACAAGAGGTTCAAACCTCCAACCTTGAGATTAGCAGTCCAATGTTTACCCAACAGCGCCACCAGGGCTTCTTTTAGAAGTCTCAGAAACCCACAGGGGGGCGCTATGAGTGAGCATTGACTGATGGCGGTGAGTTGACAGCGTTTTTACATCCAGGGTGTTTTTTTTGTTTTGTTTTGCTCTAGTGGCACCTAGCACAGTACATTGTAGGTAATCAATAAACGTGAAATAAATAAACCTGTAAGTTCTAGACGTCTGGGAGAATATCGTAACATGTTTAACAGGTCAGGAAGATATAATCCCTTCCAAATTGTACAATTCTGTAGTTTTTAAGTATATGCAGACTAGTGTAGCCATCACCACACTCAATTTTAGAACATTTTCATCATGCCTAAAGCAAACCTATCCAGATTAGCAGACACTTAATATCCCCACCTCCACCCCCATCAAGCCAATTTTTTAATGAATATTTTCTTTCTTTTTATTTTTTAACATTTTCTTCCATCAAGCCAATCTCTAGACAACTACTACTCTACCGTGCTCTCTTGGCTCTGTAGATTTGCCTATTCTGGATATTTCATATAAAGGGAGTTATACAATATTTGGTCTTTTGCGATGGCTTCTTTAATGTAGCGTGCCCTGGAGGCACAGGGTTAAAACACTGTACTGCTAACCTGGTGGCAGGTTAACGTGATTTGAACTCACTAACCGCTCGTCGGGAGAAGGCTGTGGTACTCTGTTTCCACAAAGGTTTATAACCTTAGAAATCCTATCAGGCAGTTCTCCGCTGTCTTATGGGGTTGCCATGAATTGGAATTGACTGAAGGGTGATTTGGGTTGTATGTTTGAATTTTCCATATTCTCTGATTTCTTTCAATAATTTTTTGAAACAGTGTGATTGGCATTTCAACCACATGTCATACAATCCAGTAATTCACTCATATCAAGAAAAGTTATACAATATCACCTCAGTCAATTCTAGAACATCTTCTTCCTTGTACTCACTGTTATTCATATAATTATTTTTTAGATTATGGAAAAATATACATAACAAAACATTCTCCATTTCAACAACTTCTGTGTGTGCCACTGATTATCATCTTCGTGTTGTATAACCATTATTTGTATCCTTTTCAAATATTATTCCATCACCATGAACATAAACTCAATGCCCCCTCAGCAAAAGCTCTTCCTCCTTCACTCATTGGAACCACTGGTCAAATGTTGGTTTCTTTTTTTTTCTTTGTAGTTTTCTTGATATAATATTCACATTTCATACATTCCCATAGTTAAATTGTTTTTTAAAGGAGTTGGATATACATCATCACAATCAGTTCTAATTCTTCTTCTCCCTCTCTTTCAATAATTTTTGTCATTTGTCAAATAAGTCTTTAAATTTATTTTATTAAATATATTTCTAAATATTTATTCTTTTTAAAACTGTTGTCTTAATTTCGTTTTCACATTGTTTCCATGTGTCTTAAAAATAATAAAACATAAAAGTTGACTGGGCTCAATCTGAGTTTAACACCAAAGGTTTTTAAAAATATTCTTAGGTCTTTCTTTTTTTTTTCAGGGGTCACAATGTTTTACAATGACCTGCACAATAATTAAGCCTTAAAGCTATCTGTGTTAGACCAGGTTGACTAGAGAAACAAATCCAGTGACACTCATATAAGAAAGAGCTTTACAGTATATCCAAGACTAATTGTATATTAAGAAAACATCCCAGCCCAGTTTAGATCAAGTCCTTAAGTAGATACTAGTCCATAAATCTCTCTTCAGACTCACACAGTCTTAGGCAATGATGCAAAATGCAGAAAGATCACAGGCCAGTGGGTGCAAAGTCTTGCGGATCCAGTGGGGTGGTGGACACATCTCTAGGGCTCTGGCTGCCCTCAGCACGGCCTCATGTGGTTTGTCAACAGGAAGATGAAGCAGAGTGAGAGTGCATCCCACCTCCTGGGGAGTAAGAAAGGGAGTTCCCAAAATCCTTATTGGAATGCCAAGGCCACAAGGAGGCATCATCAAGCTGTGACCTGATTGACAGGCTAGACTTCACCCTTACACTTATTTATCAATTTGGCGTGAAATGATGTAACTACTACGCTATCCTATTAATATGTTTTGGTCATGTGGAAACAATTGACTTTGCTAATGGACTTAACTATCATTTAAAAATTCCAAGCCAACCCCACCCTATCTGAGCAAAGTTAACATGAAAGTACTTACTTTGTTCTAGAAACGTCTAAGAAAATAATTAAAGTATTTTATATGCTTCTTGAATGAGTATTTTTATCATTATAGTTATTTCTCAAAAAGACACGGAGTCCCTGGGTGCTGGGATTAATACTCTGCTGATGAGCATTATATCCAATGAGATTAGACTGTTAAACATCAAGAGTAGGAATCTACTTTGAATATTCTGGATTGATTTTGTTTGGGGCACTAAGCACCAATTCCCTCACCTGAGGGGGTAAGTCCTTATATTTTGTTCTTCATATCGGTATTAAAACAGAGACAACTCCTTCCTTTAGACTCCTGGATCTCTTTCTCTATGCTTAATTAAATAGCGAACAAGTCATTCAAAACATCATGTTGGCCAGAACTCAAAAACACAGGGAGTATTCATTTACTTTCCTTCAAACAATATTTTGTTTTGGCCTTAAAAGGGGGTTTCTATGCTAATCAGGGTTTTGACATGTTTACCTAGATTTTGTGTCAAGTTTTTAAAAGTTTCATGGACTCAGGCATTTGAGAAGTTGGAGGGGACCTTAGAAAGCCAGGACAAGGGTCTTTGAGCCAAGTTCAGCCTGTAGACATGTTTTGTTTGGCCTCTGCAGTATTTTAAAAATATTTAAATCAGTGGCCAACATAAAAAAAAAGCACAGGCGGTTTCACATAAAATCTGGATTTCTGGCTTTTCTTGAAGAACTGGGTAAAGCTGACTATGTGAGGCCTACCTTGCTATATGGCCCATACAGGGGGGATGCACACCCGGTTTGCCAATGTCATCCATCCCCTGGGTTCCTTTCTTTAGATTCCTGACCTGTCTGCTCCCAGGAGGACGCCTTTGAGTCTGTTACTTCTGAGCTCATTTCATAACTTCCCAAGGTTTTCAGACAGAGGTTTGGCAAAATCATTTCTACCCAAATAAGTCAACAGCTAATTAACCATAAATGTTTACATTTCTTTCATCATAAGGGCCTAGAGTATTATTTACAAAACAGATAATGTTAGAAAATGGCTAATTGTTCCTTTTTTTTGTTGTTACGAGATTGTCTTGATTGAATGACATTCCCATTGGTGAATTAGGCTTCTTCTATAAAGGAACTGCTGGAAGGTTTCAAGGAGCTTCCTAGAGCAGTGGTTCTCAACCTGTGGGTCGAGACCCCTTTGGAGGTCGAACGACCCTTTCACAGAGGTTGCCTAAGACCATCGGAAAACACCCATTTCCGATGGTCTT